TATCACAAATCTGAAACACACTGTGTAACACTTCTGTGAGCGAAAATATAAACTTCATTTATTTCTTTACAAAATCATATTTTGTGCATCACATCTACTGCTCAATGCAATTAGATAGTCTCGTTAAATAAATGTTTTTTTTTAATTTAAAATTTGTTAATCCAAAAGGTTGCGTAGTTAAAAATAAAAGCAATCCTCCGTAATCTGAATCTTGTTATGGGTAAAAGAAATCTTAAATTGCTCGCTTTAATTCTCCCTCGCGAATTGACGCAGCTTGATAGTCCCTTTAAACGACGTCGTGGCGTCTACTTTATATTTCGGGTCTCATGGAAATTACGTCTAAAGAATACTAATTAATCGATCGGTTTTTATTGTGAAAATGGACCATTTTATTTCATTAAAAATAGTAAAATAAAATTTAAATTTAAAAAATAAGAAGTAAAAATTTAAGAAGCTACATGCGGCATGTAGTCGATACCTTCATAATTTTTACATTAGATAAAGTAATTACATCTTTAGACCAGCCTTATTCCATAAACTGAAATTTAAAATTGAATTAGAGGAAAATAATTGTTAGCTTTAATAGATGTTTAATTATTCTAAATTCTAATGACACTATTAGTCATACTGTGTTAACCTTGCAAGTGCGAGTCGGACTTGCGCATAAAGAGTTCCGTACCATTGTAATACACGTTTCTAGTAGGGGAGCCCCTTAAATTTTTAATTTATTTTTATTTTTATTATTTTTCGTTATAGCGGCTACAGAAATACAAATTCTGTGAAAATTTCAATTGTCTTTTCTTTTATTATAGGATAAGGGTGACAAATGAGCACACAGTCCACCTGATGTTAAGTGGTTGCTGTGGCCCATAGACATCTACAATCTATCTTCGATTACGAAACAAAATGCAGATGCGTTGTCACCCGTGACGACTAAGATGGAATGCTTCGTTTCCAGTAAAAAGGGGTCTCCGGTTCTCTACACTCACCATACGAAACACAGCAGCATTAAGCTGCTATTTTACTCTGGTATTCTGTGAGAGCGTGGTCCTTCCCCGGTCGAGCCGACCCATTAGTGCTACAACTATACCAGTAATATAGCTGCTGCATGGCTCTACCACGTACACAAAATGTCTACTTATTACGGATCATAAGATGTAGCTCGCTGATAGACAGACGGACGGACGGATGGACGGACGAAAGAACAGCGGAGGCTTAGTAATAGGATCCCGTTGGTTACTCTTTGGGTACGGAACCCTAAAAATACCCATACTCACTGAATTTTAAGCAATGAAACTAATCATCGCAGGTAGCTACCATGGAAAAATATTTGTTTCAGAAAGCACAAGGTATCTGTGACGGTAAACACCTGGCCGCCGAGCTCCAGTACGTCAAGCAAGTATTGCACGACAACAAGCTTCGGGGTCCCGCACTTACTTCTTGTGACCGACCACAGTCGAGCATGTGCTTATGAATATGTTTCACTATTAATTATAATCCACGTCATTTTAATTTTATTGGATGCAGTTTTAATTTTGTTGCTTAAATGTAAAGGCTTGGCTGTGGAGCATACTTTTTTTTAAAACTTTAGAATATGTTATACATACTCTCTAAATATAACACTATGAATATATAATCTTTCTTTATAAAGCTTGTATAACTGTAGTCTACTTTTATGAGTTCCTATTGTCGCTCATTCATTAAATGATTTGGAACTGTTTAAAGAGAATGTTTTACTACCACCTAATAAATAATCAGCACTATTTTTAAATGAAAGGGATGGAAGTCCTTTTACTATATTACTTTCAAACCTCTCCAAACGATGGTCATTTCTTAGACCAAAGGCAACTTTCTCATTTTTCTGTTTTTTGTGTATGTAAAACAATGAGACAAACTGTCCACAGTGATATGAACTTAAATTTTGAATGATTGATTTATGCAAGGGCTTAACATCTGTACAAATGTTATCCATACAGGTCGCACTAGGCCCAGCAAAACGTGTCGGTTGTCGGTTCTAAGAATTAATTAACAAGAGTATACTTAACTTAATACTAATGGAAGAAGTTTCAAGGAGATTGATGTTAAAGTCTTCACATATTACAAAGGACTTGTTCTGTTTTCTAAATTTGAGCAAAACTTCTTCCATGATCTTTTCAAAATATTCGTAAGTGAGAACATGGGTCTGTAAACACTTAAACAATGAGATGCTCGAGCTCGACACAAGCTATTTCTACAGTTAGCTCAAAAGAGAGGCTCACAATATCCTTACGTTTTTTTATATAATAATGATTTATCTACTAATATTGGGGAACCACGACGTAAATTTTTTCTCTAATGAAGAAACTGACCACCTGGTGATTTCTGAAATTAAATATTAAATTATAATCTTTTAGTCTATGTTCAGTAATACAAAGATTATGTATGGTGTTACTAAATACAATTCAACTTCCAATTCTTTGTCCATCATGCCTTGTAAATTTTGATTCAGCAGGTGTAAACAATTCTTATTACTTATTTGTGGGCTACATTCTAAATTAATTAAACTCATCTTGTTGCTAGAGATTGCCTCTATTGCAGCATTCACTAATTTGAATTAGTTGGAACTGATTCTAAATTAAATGTCACATGATAATGCTGCTCAATAGAAGCAGCCTTGGTAGCCAAAACTTGAAACTCATTCGTGAAAACTTCGTGAAACAGCAAAAGCTGCCGCCTGGCTCTACCACTCTTCAGAAATCCCAGACTCTTCAGAAAAATTGTTTTATTCCATTGCTCTCGCTGTCTGTCTATTTGTGTGTCTATCCGGGTTAATCTTCGTAAAGGCTGAACCGATTGTGATGAACCTTTATGAGATAACAGATGGAGACCATATCAACCATATTTCATCGGTAAAACCATCGATATACATATACTACGCACTAGATTTCGCATTCCGAACACTGTATGTTCAACTGAACTGTACTGCAATCCGTACACTAAAACTAAATATTGCGTAAATTGACTATTTGTGAATTCCATAAGATAATTATTATTACATTTTATTTAGAAATATGTTTCTTTAAATTAAAATGAGAGTATTTTATATTAAATTCTTACATTTATTTTATATTAATATCTTATTTTATATTAAATTAAAATATTCGCGCATGTGCGATTCTACTATCTCTCACGCATGCGCGAAGACATAATGTACCGTGAAACCTGGCAACTTTGCCATTTTTGGAAGGATTTAAGTCCTTCCAAAAATGGCAAAGTTGCCAGGTATAATAAGTTTAGGACCAAATTTCCAACAAAAAATGTACTGTCACACTGGGCGTCAACGTTAAATGTAACATTATATTCTTCGTAGATTTGGTATTTATTAGTGATTTAAACAAATAATAACATTAAATAGACAAAATACTTAAAATAAGAAAATGGCAAAGTTAACCTCACTTTGTGGCAACTTTACCATCGGGGTTTATAATAAAAATAATAGGATTTGACTTCAAAGTTAAGGTAAGTTTACCTCATAATATAATACACAATACTCAGAGTTATGATTTGCTCCTTTAATTGTGTTGTAAATAGCAAAGTTTACTCCTGTGGCAAAGTTGCCCTCCCATTTTTCCATATTTCATACAAACTTGAAGATGTGTCAGGGTTGTCAAAAATCTTAATTACGTACTTTACTTAAATTTTTTATTTCAATATTTTCACAACAATTTTTAGGAGGTATACGTTTTTTTTTAAATTAAATTCTCAATAATTATAAATAAATAAACATAAGAATAACTATGATTATTTTTCATCATCAACAGTCATCGTCACTATCAAGAAATTCAACTTTTCGCCTTTTCGTCTGCTTTATGCTTTTATTAGACAATTACTGCTTTTCTGATTAAATATTATTATTATGAAGTCTAGATGTGCTCGCCACAGGATTTTCATGTAGATCAAAACCTTATTGACCTATTGTAATACCAGTTGACGATTTTTGACAAATGTCAAAATTTTAATCCATTCTGTTTAATTTTATTGGACCATATTGTGACAAGTCAAAATATTTTTTGTTCTTTACGTGTTAAGAAAATAGTGAGTCATCGTTGTCCGCCGGCCTGGCCACGCCCCGCAGCCAATTAAAATGCAAGAAATTAGAAAGTCAAGTTCACAGTGACCAGTTGAAGTCAGGCCTTCGAACAAAATAGTTGTGTATTTTCCGTGTTACTCGTTCAACATTAAATTTTGAAAATGAATACCTCACCTATTCGAAAGAATAAAAGTGGATCAATAATCCATACCGGAGAGAGACGCGTAATTTACAATGTTTATAAGTACTTTAAACTGTGTGATTTAAATGCGACTGTGGAGAGCACAGTAATAAAAACAGTAAGTGCATGTGGTGTGTCCGAAAATACTGTTTATAAAATTATTAAAGAACAAAAGGATACTAACACATTAAAATCACCCGTGAAAAAAAGAGCTCGAGTATCGACGGTCGATAAATTAGATGAACTAGACAAATGTGCAATAAGGAGAAAAGTTCACTCAATATATTTAAATAACGACTACCCGACAAATTTATGGAAAATATATAAATATATTGGACAAAATTATGACACTTTGCGAAGCTGACGAAGACATTCCTGTTTTCAAACGTACCACACTTCATAAAATAATGCATGAGCTTGGTTTCGATTTCAATAAACAGGATAGCAGAACATTGTTAATCGAAAGAGAAGATATTGTTTTATGGAGGCGTAAATATCTGAGGCAAATAAAAGAATACAGAGTCGCTAATAAAACCATTTACAAATTGACGAAACGTGGGTAAACGCCGGATACGTAAAGACAAAAGCATGGTTGGATACAACGGTAAAAAATAAAAGACAAGCCTTTCTAGACGGCTTATCAGCCGGTCCGAAAGCTCCGACAGGAAAAGGTAAAAGGTTAATTGTATTGCACATTGGCAGCGACAAAGGATTCGTGGAAGATGGTCTACTAGTATTTGAACAAATATAATGCCTAAGCTAGAACCAGGAAGTGTGGTTGTCATGGATAACGCTCCCTATCATTCGGTAAGAACCGAAAAAATACCAACAACCAGCTGGAACAAGCAGCAAATAATAGATTGGCTGCAAAGCAAAGGCAAATCCATGGACATCACTTATTTAAAAAAAGAATTATTAATGAAAGTTGCAGAAATCGCCCCACAATATAATAAATATTTAATAGATGAGACTTCCAAAAGTAATGGCATTACAATTCTTCGCCTACCGCCTTTATCATTGCAAACTTAATCCAATTGAATTGGTTTGGGCCTAAATAAAAAATTATGTTGGTGCCAATAACTCCACGTTCATAATGAGTGACATAAAAAAATTATTAGATGACGCAATAGCATTAATAGACGCTAATCGTTGGAAGAAGTGCTGCGACCACGTGATACGCGAAGAAAATACCATGTGGAATTTGGATCACATCATGGAACTTGCAGAACAAAATTCTTTCATAATTAATGTAACTGGAGAATCTAGCGATATTGATTAGTGATTTAAGTAAACTTAAGGAAATTTGTTTCCATTAAACTTAATTAAATGTTGGAAAAAAAAGAATTTTTAGTCCACTGTGAATACACCTTTACCCTGTAGTTGCACTGATGACTCACTATTTTCTTAACGCGAACGGAATATAGTATGGTAAGTGTGCCAAGTCAGTTTTATAGACAAATATTAAGACTACTATATTAAAAACGAAATATTACATTTCCTAACTTAATTAGTTATTAAATTTTTATACAAAAAAATGACAAATCTCAAACGTTACGTTTTCCGTGTTAATCGTAATTTTGTACCAGTACACCACTGATGGCAAAGTTACCAGATACCATTGGTAAAGTTGCCAGACTTGACTGTAGCGCACAATTTTTGTTTGGAATAGCTTCTCTAGCACGTAGTACAACTCACTCAACTCAATGTGTAAAGCATTTAAGATTAAAAAAAGAATAATTGATATAATAAATCTCAAAAGGTCTTTCTTCAACTATGTTCAGTCTATATAAAATTGGTCCTATCTAGGCAAATCCGGGTCGGGTCGCTAGTTCAGGGGTGTCACTTCCACTATGGAAGGTATGGAGCACTCCATACCTCAAGTTTTTCAAGGTATGGAATTCCATAGCTGAAATTAGGAAATAAATCGCATATTACTACAAACCCCATATAAATAAATCGCAAGCCCTTAAACCTCAATACCCCACATCTTATAGTTCAATAAATAAGTTGAGTATATACACTGCAAACTCTTAAACCTTAATACCCCACGAGTAATGCGAACAAATTTGAAAATCGCGCCACCATTTTCCATACCTCAGATTTTTACAAAGTGACACGCCTGCGCTAGTTATTAAATATTTATATAAAATAGGGCTCAAACAACCAACTACCAAAGGTGAAGAAAGGTTCTTGGCCGGCTGTCTTGTATCGAGTGACGACCTGGTAAAGACTGTTTATAAATAAATAGTTTAATATTCTGATTTAATTAATGCTTTAGACAAGAATTTGCTCATGATTTTACCGCGTGATTAATAATAATAAATGTGATTTCAATAATTATTAACTGACCATCTTTCTGAGTCCATTTGTTTGTTATTCACCATCCACAAATCCAACTTACATCTTAATTTATAATATTAACTTTTCATAACAGTCTGCCTTCTCTTTTAGAAAGAGCTTGCTACTTACCGTAACTTGAACGTTAAAATATCAATGTGATAGTTCCATGTACTTACGGTTAAACTTTTCTTGGCTTTAATAAACTTTTCCTCATACTTTTAAGAATCTATGAAAGATTCAGATAATAAAAGATAAAATGCATTGCAAATTTATATTTATTAATAAATAGTTTAATATTTTGATTTAATTAATGCTTTAGACAAGAATTTATTCATTATTTTACCGCGTGATTAATAATAAAAAATGTAATTTCAATAATTTTAAACTGAGCATCTTTCTGAGTCTTTTATGTTTGTCATTCTTTTATAATTTTTTTTGTTACCACTTGAATTTCCTCCTGAAACATAAATTTTACATGGACAAACATCCAGACCCAAAACAATTAATAATACAATTGTCCCCCGCGGGTTTTGAACCCGCGTCTCGGCCGCTTTGCACTGTGCTACGGAGCCGTTTATCCAATTTGCTTAGGAGACAATGGATGAACGATTATCTCCTTTGCTCATCAAACTTTGGGGCTATATCAGTCCTACTATATTATGTATTATATTATTGCACTGTGTAATACCTCACTGATTTAAATTGCTGTCTTATTTCTTTCAAAAAAAAATATTTAAATTAACACCTAAAACACGTCAACTTGTCCATCTTTAACATTGCTTTAAAAAACAAATACTCACTTGTTTTCCGGTCGTTTCTTTTTCTTTAATGTCGCGTTATTTTTTCATTCACCAACCCAGCAACATATATCTTTTTGTATAAGGCATTGATACGCTCTCAGTTGGAATACGCAGTTGCTTTGTGGAATCCTTTCTATAATGTCTATACCGACCATATTGAGAGAGTACAAAAAAAGTTTTTTAAGTCCATGTACTATAGATGTAAGCATAAATATTGTTCCTATAATATAATTTTAAATAAATACAAAATGTTAAGTTTAAAGCGCAGACGACAACAATTAGCAGCAATGTTGTTATTTGACCTTTGTAATGATAGATATGATTGCATTCTTTTAACAAAAAAATTGCAATTTCGTGTACCTACTAGGTCACATGTAAGATCAACATGCTCATGTCAAACATTTGCCCTTCCCTTATGTAGAACCAATGCTGGCAAAAGAGCGCCATTATATCGTTTAATGCAAAATTATAATGATCACTTTTGTGACATTGACATTTTTAATAATCGTGCAAATTCCTTTAGAAACAAAGTGATTAATAAGCTTATGAGTCTTACAAACTAAAGAAAGGAAAAGGAAAAAATCAAAACTCAATCATAATACAATTGAATTATATAATTGTTTTGAAATCAAACCTAAAATTTTGAGTTTTTTGTTTATTGCTAGATTTTAATTTTTGTTTTTAAATAGTTCGATAATGCTGATCTCTTGTCTACTTAAATTAGAGTTTAAGTTAATGTAATGTCTAATGTCTTTTTGTAATATTACTTATGTACTAAGTCCTCCTTCACATCTCTCATTTTTGTAATTTAATCTGTTAAAATTATTATCTGAGACTGGTGGTGTTGGCTTCACTAAATTTAAATTTTAGGATTAAGATTAGTTATTAATCCTCTGTTGAAGTTGTTTACTGGTCCTTAAATAAAAAAAAAAAATAAGAGTTCGGTCGTAACACCAAATGCTGCACAGGCGGCACTCAATTGATATTGATTGGGCGTTTTCAGTTTGATATCTTCCGTTCCGTTGGATCCGTTCCGTTCCATTCCCAATTCCATTCCTAAAAAGGTATGGCATTGCAAAAGTGCATCGATAATAATATTTATATATTTATTTATTTTTTATTATATATTATTTTAAAGTGATATTTTCATAAACCTATTATTTTAACGCTCTAAGAGATATCAGTAAGATTTAAAAATTCAACTCAAGATAAGAAGAACCAGACAATTTCAGGCTTAATATATCATCTTTATATTCAGTACATGGTGTGAGAATATCCACTAACCCATATCGTACCGTGGGTGTCGTAAAAGGCGACACAGGAAAATTAAACAGGAGATGGGCAGCAGCATCTTCATGATAACAGCTCAAAATAATAAAATACTGCGGTTGCCAATCCACTTGCAAAGCATGGCAAATATGCCAAATATTCACCCTACGAGGCAATTTATAAGGTAGGCCTATTTATATTGAGCATATTGTTCACAATTGTTTTGATGAAAAGGAGGTTCATAGCTAAAAACTAGGATCCGACAGGGGACGATGTAATGAAATTATTAATGTTCAATGAGTGCCACAAAAGAAATTTTGATAGATGAGTCAGTCACTTAGGACATATTCCTGTAATATTATTTAAATATCAAAATAGATTTCATACATAATGTAAACACAGTAACAGCTCATTTGTTCGCCATTTACAATTTTAAAATGTTCAAATTTCTCTCTTTTCGCTTGTTATACCTAATAAGTCCATTACTAACCTGTATGTTCATACAAATGTTTACTAAAGCATAAAGCGTACCTAAGCAATTGCTTAAGGACTTTAACTGTCTTTATGCCGTCATTGCTGCTATTATTATCCTGGTTATAGCTAAACAACAACAGATATGTTCAATATGGAAACAGCAAAACGGTTATTGTTGTGTTTCAATGCATAAAGCTGAGTTCCCTCCCGGTTCCTTTTAGGCGCACTCATGTGAAACAAATGAATAATTCAAGTCCAACATACCTACTTTGTCCAAATTTAACCTTCTTTGGCCATTTGATAACGCTGAAATTGTTTGTTTCTTCTAATATTGTGCTCAGAAAGGTAGCGCAAGCAAGTAAAATCAGTTATAAGGTTTACTACAAAATTTCACTAAAACGAAATTATTAATAGCTTCTCTTCGCTGTTGTTAATTGTCTATGTTAATGTATCTTTGTTATCTTGCCCATCACCAATCCTAAACTGAATATTGTTACGGTTAATGAAGTACTTTATTACCTACTACGAGTAATAAGTGAATTATTTAAAAAATACTTTTACTAATATTTCTAATATTAAGGAGCTACTAAAATGATATTTCCTTTTTAAAACTATTATCAAATCTAAGCAGAAAAATGCGCTAATTGAAATTTTATTATATATATATAAATAGCATCACGGAGTGGTAGGCTGGTAGTGCCGCATGAAAAATGGAGTGTCGGCATTACGAAACGCTGCTTTCAGTCTCTTCTATCGTCAACACGACCGAAACGTGGCTACTCGCGGCTGGTCATCCTGACTCAAATGCCTCCGCGTAAAAGACTGTAGGAGAAGGTGGGAATGTCTTTTGCATAAGTGGAGACGCAGGTCGTTGTATGAAGCTCGCCTTATATTTCGAAGCGTTTTTCCTGAGGAGTGATAGAAGGAGGAATTGTCATCTTCCGAAGAGCGGCGATTGACGCTGCTGGAGCCGCGGATGTGTGCGAAAACGTTCATGTGTGCGAAACGTATACGCTGCGAAGGTGAACCACCAGCGGGTTTTAATCGATGCGAGCCCGAAATAACTTGTCTACGAGTTGTCCTTGCCCCCGCGTAGACGAAAATGCGGAGGCATTACCTCATGAAAAAAGTTTTATTGAGGGAAATTTTACTTACCAGTATACTATTTAAGTTACTGCGAAAATTCTGTAAGAGAGAATTGTAATTGATCCCATGGGAAACTACAAGTGTGTAATGGGCTTGTATAATATGTCATGACGTATACAAGCACATTACACACAATTTTTTTGAGATGGTGTCTGATGGCCGAGCATGCTCGCCATCGCAAAAAAATTGAGTCATTCTAAATTACATATGTATATCCACTCTAACCTTGAAGAAGCCCGGATTGTAATCG